TCTTCCCCTCCCTCCCTCCCTCCCTTCCTTCTCTCTTCTCTCTTCTTTCTTCTTTCTGAATGGAGGTTGTTTTTTGTATATTTCCTATTTGCGCTATTGTTTATGTATTTGTTTCTTTATATTGGGGGCAGCCCAGAGCCACTTTGGAGTTCTGCAGCGTCTAAATCTAATGGGATAACTTGAGTAAACCTTGGATCGTAATACTTTGGTGAAAAGAGAGACCTCTCTCTCTGCCCACCTTCTTGGACCCCACTGTACGGTATCCATCTACCACGTTCCTCCTTAACCTGCAACCAGAGCAAGGAGAATCAAATGAGTTGCAGCCAGCTACCATACTCCATGGTTATGTTTCCTGTCTGGCTATTTCCCGTCCCCAAATGAACTCAAACTCCAGCTCCCTTCCCCCTTTTTTTCTGCAAGGTCTTTCAGTCGCCCAGCCAACCTCCGCCCTGCCCTGCCCTGCCCTGCCCTGCCCTGCCCTGCCCTGCCCTGCCCTGCCCCAAGGGGTTCTGTTCATCAGCCTCTCTCTGGCAGGAGCTGCCTGTTGGCGACCAGACGAGGCACCCGGTTGGCTCAGCCAGCGCCTGGCAGCAGGGGCTCCTCCTCTCCTCCCCCTGCTGTCATATGCCAGCATGTTCAGGGGCTGGGTGGCAGAGTCTTTGCGAGGCTCCAACCCAGAGGATACAGGAGGGGCTTACAGTGTTGGTCTTTGCACCACCTGATTCTTTTCCAGGGCTGCAGATTCAAGTTTCCACCAGACCTTTAGTAGCTGGGTGGATTTAATAAAGGAGATTTTTCTGTATCCACTCTCATGACCTGTCTGACCTCTTCCGTGATTTCTCAGCTGTAAGAATGGGTGCCCAGCTCTTTGGGATGTGTTCGCACATCCTGCTAAGCCAAACTCCACTTGTAGCTTAGTAGGTGAGCTGTGAACTGTGTTATCATTAGCAAAGAAAAGCGGCCTTCTTCCCAGAGCTATTAGCTGCTGTGGAAATGAATTATCTCACTGCACTGATCGTGGGCAGGAACTGCAGAAACCTGGCTTCAGGGCATCTGCTGCCGCCTGATTATTCTTTGTGGCCTGGCTGATCTGAAAAAGTGGGATCAGTACTGGTCGATGGATGGGAGACCATTAGGAGTTTCTGATCTTTAGGCTAAACCGGGGAGTTGAGAAAACGTCCCTGAAGAAAACAGTGCCAAATCTCTTCTGCGGGGCTGTCGTGCAAACTACTTGGCGGAGTCTGATGAAGTGACTGGAGGAACATCTTGCCATGGGATCTGGGATTCTCCTGAACCTGTGGGATTTCGTGAGAAGGATGCAGTCCCCTGTAGCATGAGCTCTGCCACTGCTGTTTGGACCCATGCCCAGCCTGGCCTGCACCTCCGAGTGGCCCAGGTGTGGGTATGTGTGTGTGCACACAGCTGGAATAATTCCTCTTTGACAGAGGGTGAGTTATCACTTGGCTTGAAGGAGACCATGGTGTGCTCTCTGCGGAAGAAGCCATCTCTCGGTCCAGCCGCACTGGACAACTGCCCAGATCTAGAGGCAGCTGGGCATGTGGTGAAAGAGCTTTGATAGATCGCTTTCACTGGGACCTAGATGGCACAGGTGTTCCCCCTCTGGTTGTTTTAGACATCTCAAGAGCATCCAGCAGCATTGACTAGGGTGGCCTTCTACAAGGGCTTGGAGCTGGAGGTGCCCAATTAAGCTGCTTCCTGTCCCTCTTGGCAGGGGGGCGGGGGGGGAGGCAGTTCAGGTCAATGATCTTAGCAAAGGAATTTTGATCCCCTGATCCTCTCTTGTTTACCTAACATTCACCTGTCTGGAAGATTTGAAAGATTTGAAATGTACCTGACATTTACCAGTCATCTGCTGGTTTGGAAGAAGTATGCCAGCGGTGCTGCATTGTACATGGCCAGCCCAGGCCAAGCCAGAGAAGTCTGGAAGCTGCGAGGGACGGGACGGGATGGGATGAAAGCGGGTCCCGCTGAACCCCACAGGAGCCCTGCCATCTAATTTGGTGCCGGCTATTGCTCTTCACGCTCCCCCTGCAGGAACGGGTCTGTGAGCCAGGTCCACTTATGGCCTTTCTTGGACCAAGAAGCCCTGGCCAGGGTGGCTGGCCTCATCCCCAGGGGCTTAGACGGCTTCAGTGTACTCTGCGTGGGGCTGCCCTTGAAGACAACGTGGAAACTAAGTGATACTGAATGCAGTGGTCAGGTGGTGGTGGCCGAGAACCACAGTTGCCATATACCACCAGGGCTTTGATTGCTGCACCGGTAGCTGATGCGTTTCTGGGCTGTTCAAGGTGTCAGTTTTAAGTTATAAAGTGCAACATGATGGAGCACGCATGTTAGGAACCATGTCTGGGGGGGGATCCCCAACATTTTCTATTGGCCTGCCCCCCTCCTTATCCATCTTCCAGAAAGGCACCCGAACCATTTTGTCCAGGCATGCTTTTAATTTATGTTTGCTCATGGATATTGATGACTGTTGGTTTTTATCCGTGACGCTGGGCGCTTGGTTTTTCTCCTTCCCATTTTTATTAGTTTTTCTGGTTTCATTGATTTTTATTTTATGGTGCTTATCTTTGTAAACTGCCTGGAAGGGGGCGAGAAATAAGGGGGGATATAAGTAAATAAATGAAGCCCTGGGGGAGGAGCTGGACTCAAGGGTGTCTTGGCGGTTCCTTCATGAACCGAGGCATCAGAAAAGAGCTGTCAGATTTGGGCCCAAGGGGGTCGGAGGGAGGGA